AACTATGTGTTGTTACCAAATGGGAAGAACTTCTCAGGTGATCTCTGAGATACGCTGAGAATATTAGGGATTGAGTCTTAGGGGACAACTGGACAAACATGGAGGAAAGCAGTGCAGATAGCAAGAGAGCAGGCTGAATATGCTCCTGGTCTCCTTTGCTACTGAGGAACAGTGCTGCAGCTCTCTCTATTAGTTGGAACATCCTACAGGATGATGGCTTTATGCCCAGGTATTCTGTGCTGATGGAGTCCAGACGGGAAGCAGCGAGGGCGTGCATCACTGAGGCCAGGTCCCGTTTGAACAGGATGGGAAACAACTGCTGATCCAATTATTTCTTGCCCTAGTTTTCATGTCTGTAAAGTGGGGACACTTAACTACCACAGGGGCAACTAATTATTATCACAAAATGTGAACTAAATGCTCTAATTCACTAAAGATATAATTTTTGTACTGGGCATAACAGCCCTGAGAGGTCATGTAATCTTGGCTAGTATCATATTCAGAACTATCCTCACTGATACTGATAAAACCTCTCTAATTATTCAGCAGTTCTACTGGATATTGGTACCTCTCTGACCCCACATCATCTGAAAATAAACCTAAACTGAATCCATTCACTCTGGGTAACACCCCAAAAAAGTCTCTCACTCCTCCCCACAAACACCGTATGTTTTATGGACTATGGAAGTAAGACTAGGACTGGACATAGGAAAGAGATGGCTACTCCTCATCAGGGACAAGGGGAAGCACAAACACCTGTTGAAACACCTAAGCCTAAATCCAAATACTAAGGCAAAAGAAATGGCACTGGAAATAGCATGAGGACAAGAAAGGGAAGTTTTAATAGGCACAAATTTCTTTATAATAATTTAATGGAAATTCAATATTAAGTTAAATTAGCATTAAGTTTTTTTACTTCTTTATTAATTAAAAAGTTAAGTATTATGGGTGATGGATGGAGAAGACTTAGTCACATCCACCCTGTACAGAGAACTGTATGGTCATACTCCAGGTGTTCAGTTGGAAGAGTTTCATCTGTTGGGTGCTATCTAGGCACCCTATAAATATACCTACCTTGCAGCTTCCTTATCTGATAGCTAGATGGGATATATTTCTGATTTAAAGATTGTTAGAAACCTATTTCTGAAAAGCCCTTATTATATTAAGCATGTCATATTAAAATCTTTCCATTCTAAAGAATAAACATTTTTAGGGACATATTTTTCAAACTCCATTTCAGAAATTTAAATACACCCCATGCCTTTTGAACATGTAAGTATGAAAATTCACAGGTTGGAACACTCTTAAAGCATACACTTCTGTTACAGAAGGTTTCCATTTGCTTCCTTCCTATGGAGGTAGTATCTCCCGAAATTCACAGCTGGTTCAACAGCTATGGAGCACAAAGCCATTCAAATGATGTGTCAAAGGTGGGAGATGGGTGAGCTATAGAGTTGATCTTAAAGAGCAAACTCCTCTAAAATCTCATTATTAATGCATTGCAGGTTTGATTTTCAGGACTTGTCATTTACTCTCTGTTCTCACCAGAATATGGTCCTATAGGATTGTCTTGCATTCCTAAGAGAAGTGTGGAGTGAAATAATGGAAACTTCTAAAGAAACTTGCGTTTTACATTGAGAAGATTGGTAATGACGGAATAATAACTTGCCCAAGGTGAGATGGACATGGTATGTGGGGATTGTTACGCTCTACTCTTCCTGTCAGAAAACGCTAAGCAAAGAATCACACTGGGCCAAACACCAAGTTAAGCATCACTATAATGCATTTTTTTTCTGTATCCTTGAATTCATTCCCTTTAATTATGAGCTGTACTATGTGTGTGATAGGGTTTCAATCCTATTGTGTTCTGCTCTGCTCTACCTTGTTCATGTTCTTACTCTGCCCTACAGCCATAGAGTGCTGTCCATGGCTTCTAATCTGAGATGATAAGCATCTCTCATGCATGGGAAATGCACTTTAGACGCATGTTTAAATTAAAAGCAAGGAACCATTCCTGATAAAGGGAATAAATACACTGTTATGCTGCAAGCCCCAACACAGACCACGGTAATGTGGAAGGATAGAGAAATATAACCTGGAGGCTCATTGCCAAAGATTCCTCTGCTTCAGTGGGTAGATAGATAGCCCAAACAAAGTGATGCCTCCTAGAACAGGTTTTAAATGAGAATGGGTTCAAGATCAATGTATTTCCAGCAAAAGCAGCTCCAAAGGTCAGTACCTACTGCTCTGCCTAAGTGCTTTGCTGCCTTTTCACCAGGCTGAGTAGATGCTAACTGGAGATAAGAGCAGAAAGCCAGTGATCCCAACAAATAAATGTAAATGGCATGATGGTGCTGCATTTTTTTAAACATAATGCATTTTCAACTGGGGTGAGGCTACCTAAGTTAATTAAAATAATAAACATAATGAATTAAGTGAATAAGAAAATGAATACCTTCTTTTTGCATGTGAAGATAAGCCAGAGAGAGGCTGTCTCTAAGGGCATGGAGATGTGCTCTATTAAGAGCCTTCTGCAGCATGGAACAACACACTGATTGTCACCTAGCCACCATGGAGCATAATTTGTCTCTCTGTAGCAACATCCTTTTTTGAGCCCTTCCCTAGGAAACCAGGTACCTCAGTTGTGCTGAAGTTTTTAATGAACTAGGCTTAGACAGAGAAAGCAAAATCATGCCCTCAGTCTTGGGCAGGGATGAATTTTGAGTGGAAAAATGTGGTGCTATTAAAATAAAGCAGCTGAAGGCAGCTGCTTGGGATTCCACATATTTTGAAATGGAAGTGTATTTTAGGGGGCACAGACTAGTAAGGAGGTGATGGTAGTACACATGACAACTACACCTGGACCTCTGCATATTGTGCATCTTCAGAATTCAGTTACCTATTCTCCTTTTCTAAAATCCAGTCTGAATTCTGCTGTTAAAAATAATGTCCATCCCCTTGCTCCTGTTTCTTTCTTTTCATAACTGCCTTTTGCATACCTGCACCTTCTCTCTTCCTGAGATTTTGTTTTGTTTGGGTTGGAGTTTTTTTTATTTTCTTTTTTCCTTTCTTTTGGTCTTTCTCTCTTAAATCTCTCCTTTCTCCTTGCAGAAACTGTTGATGTCCCTACTTCCTCCTACTTCCTCATTTTGATTACTCAGTGATGAACAACAGAATTTGTGAAAACTAGTAAGCCAAAAATATTTAAATATTTTTTCCTGAAACAGCAGTTTCACCTTAGTGGAAACACTTTGCCAAAAAAACCCACCAAGTATTTTGAACAACAACAACAAAAAGAAGTCAAAGAAATGATTACACAAAAAACACGCTTTGAAAAGAACACATATAACAAAATTAGTTTGTGACCTTTCCTCATTCCACTCAGTTTCTCCTTTATTTTCCCCACAAGTCCAATAACTTTATATGCAATCCAGACCATTTTCTGACTTCAAAACTCAATCTTGCCTCTTTCTATCCATCACTATGTATGTGTATTTTTTTCCCTAAACATTCAACTTGTTTTCTTTTCCTTGTCTTCCTCGTACACGTTGGGTCAGAGCTTGCACACAACGCCTGGTACAGACAGTAAATGGAACAGATTTGGATCTATTAAAAATATGTGAGAGATACTGCACAGGAACCTTGGAGTATTACAGGTGTGGTACTGCAGGTAGTACAAGGAGCTCCCATGACCTAGGGGTCCACCAAGAAACAGGTAGGGAAGGCTATCACAGAGATTTTATTCCATATTGTTTTCATGTGGAAAGAAATCGGGAAAGAGCAAATGCAGTGCAATCCATAAAATAACAATCTCTCACACAATGAATTCACGTATGGTTTAAATGCTGATTTCTTTTATCTCCAAAAAAATATTTCATTTCATCATGCCAAACGTTAATATCAGGTTGTCAGTGTGTAAAACATCCAGTAAGTGAAATACTAAATGGGCATATGTGTGCACATGCCTCATTAGCTTTCTGCCTCTGTTGATAAGATGAAATCCAGCTCTGTTTCAAAGCAAAATTAATTGTGGACACCTCAGTTAAAGGACTTAAAGATGGGGACCCATGCTATAAAAAATTTCTGAAAAACCTTTAGTGCTGAAAAATCTCTTCATGCCTAATAAAAACCACATGGCAGACAACGTATGAAAGATCTTACTGTACAAATACTTCTTGTTCCATCCCTATAGACCATCAGAGACCCTGCTTTTTTTCCTCTGTCAACCTATCTTAATATTTCAATATAGACTGAAATAGTTCAGAAAAAATCTGCTGCTGCTGCTCCAAAGTGTGACACCACATCAGGAATAACACATCACCACTTCTCATTGCAAGACAAGCAGTGCAGAATGTTAATATGTAGTAAATAAATCCTTCATTCAGAATTGTTTTCAGATCTTGTTCAATATTTATTTTTTCCTCTCTGTCCATTTACCATTAGTAAACAGTATCACTACAAGTCTGACAGAACACAAGAGGACAGTGTACCATTCATTTGATCCTATTTTTTTCCCCTCATCAAGTTAGTATTTATGGAAAATGGCCAGCATTCTTCACTATGAGGGTGGTGAGGCACTGGAATAGGTTGCCCAGAGAAGTTGTGGCTGCCCCATCCCTGGCAGTGTTTAAGGCTGGATGGGGCTTTGAGCAACCTGGTGTAGTGGAAGGTGTCCCTGACCACAGTATGGCAGGGTTTAACTAGATGCCCACTTCTCTCTCCTCAAGGATATCTTGAGCTGCAGCAACCTACAGAGCAAGAATCCAAAGGTGGCTCTCAAAATTGAGGTCTGTAGGAGGTAGCTTTCTGCCAGTAACTTTTTGAAGTGGCCTGGGTTGAATCACTTGTAATTTCTCTTTTCCTTCCCTCATTCCCATCCTGATGATGAACAAATACCAGACAAGTTCATGGCAAGTAAAGCTTTGAACTCAGCTAGCAAATACATAATGCTATTATAATCCCCAGGTAATATTATAACCCCCAGGTAACAAGTGTGGTACCTGCAGCTCTGTTTGGAAGAAGAACTTCTGTGGGCACTGTGTGCAGTCATAGATCTTGTCCTCTTGCCCATGGGCTGAGAAAATATGCTGCTGCAACTTGTTTGCTTGGACAAACACTGGAATATTAGACAAACAACACTCATTTCACTATTTCATATTGCAAGTAAAGAGTTTTTTATAAACAATTTCCTATTAACGCTCAGCAATTCCAAGAGGTAAAATTAGGCTGGTGCACTCTGATTTCACATTACACTGTTACTATAATGGGTATCAATAAACACTATTTATCTACAAAGTGTGATCCTTCTTCTAAAACGAATGAACTGAAACAGATGCCTGGTTTAAAAAAAAAAAAAAAAAAAAAAGACTAACAGAACAACCAACGAAGATTTCAAATCTAAAGAATTTAAAAGTGCCATTTTCTCTTCAAAATTATTTCTTCATGCTTAATGCACTTTGATTGAATACAAAAAAACTTATTTCCTAGCAACCAACAGGTTTAAAATCATAGATGCCAAAGTCCTATTTATTTGGTGTGCCTAAAGTTAAAGCTAACAAACAGCTCTGTATTTAAATGTAGTAATGCTAAAAATTATATCCCACAGCTACACTGGGGCAATGTCTATAAATGTGAAACAGAACTGCAGGTAAATTCTCTTTGGATACTTTAAGATCAACTCTGCCTACACACTGAATGCAAGGGTTTCAATAATATAAACATGTTCAATTTTAATGACTACAAAACAAGGCCCTAAGACTGTGTAACAGTTTACCTAGGAGACATACTATTAATAATTAAATTGTATATGCCAGAGGCAGTGTTTGGGTTGGCAGCACTGACTTCTGATGGATGCCTGGTGCACTGTGACCTAAAAAAGTTTGCATCTACAATATTAATCTGTATAGGCAGGGAAAGGATTTATTAAAGATGCTGGCATTTGACTTTGACTCCATTCCTAATCATTAAAATTATTCTAATTGCAAGGCAACAAAAAACATCAGAATATTGTTCTTCTGAGTCATACATTTTAATCACATTTCTCATTACCCTGAAAAAAAAAAAAAGATCAGATTCCATTTTCCATATAAAACTTATATTGGTGATTTTTACTTCTTGTTATTATTCTAGCAAGACATGCTGAAATAATTTCATAGCATATTGCTAATAAAACACCATTGTTTATGATTAATGCTCAATGTCTATTATTTACCCCATCAGCAAAAAGACAAAAGTGTTTCACACAGATTGGAATCGACCTCTCTCCATACTCTTTAACACATTTCACAAAGCTGCTGGCTTAAAAATTACAGATTAGTTTCATCAGGGATCTTGCTCACAAGGAGAACCGTCAGTGGGAACATATGCCAGTTTTTATATGGCATTTACAAGTCCCCCAAACTTGGAAATCGAAGACCCATGGCATTATGCTAAAAAAAAAATCACCTCATAATGTGTACACAAAGACCAGGGGAAAAAACATAATCAGTACTAGAATCAGTAATAAAACTAAGAGAACAAACAACAACAAAATGCCTAACTGAAAGAATTATTGAACACAGACGCCTAACAGGCGAACTGTTTACCGCACTACTATCCATGCTCAGACATTACCATTACAAGCTGCGCAGTGAAGACGAACTATGTATTTCTTTAATTTTATAACCCACAAAAATGTGTGAAACCTGAACACAGTGAGGTAATAATCATCACCAGCCACTATATCTGAGAGATGAAAAATTCAGCTTTAATTTTCCTCTGTAGCATGCACTTAGGTTTTATTGGGAGGGGAGCTGCCAAACAAAGAGAAGTAAAATGAAGGTATTAAAGGATCTATTTGCCTATCAATGAAAATCCTTCACTCCCATTAATGGAGAACAGAAACCTTGAATGGCTTCCAGAATTAGCATGCCATTGATGCGAGAATACCCAAAGTGTGTTTTGTCATGTTTGTGATTATCTTTGATTTTCATCTTGTAAAGCAAAATCGGGCATGTAAGCTACATATTAACGCTTATGTTTTAGGTTATCATTTTATGAAATGTTTGATTAAGAAGCCCTTAAAAAAACTCACAACAACTCTGTAGGCATCCTTTTAATGTGTTTTCATTTCCAACAACAGCATTTTTCTGTTCCTCATTATGGCCCAAACACTGCAGTGCTTAGCCCTACTGGGTCAAGTTATTTTCTCACTTGGGTTTTACTACTGAATAACACCAATGACTTGGGGAGGGTTATTCCACACTTGGACTTGTGTCAGGGGAGAGCAGAACTTGACTTGTGGCAAGACAGCACAGTTTGCTTTCTAAAGCACATTACAAGGGTGTTTCTTCCCACCACAAGCCAACAAACACATGCAAGCAGGCTTTCTTACATGATCAGAGGAGAACGCTGCAGTGCACAGGCTATGCCTAGCAGCCCTTGCCCACAGGGCCAAGTTCTGCTCTGAGTTATATTGTTTTAGATGAAACATCTGTAGCTTTAAAGCACAAATTTATGGTCAGTTTTAACCTTGGCAAGTTTGGAACATGAAGGTAATGAACGTAACACCATGGAAGGTAACAGACTATCACTTCTGTAATTATAAAACCCGCAAACTTCCGCTGTAAGAGCTAGAAATGCAGTTCTTACATTACATGGATGCCTGACCTTCTAAGGAGCTCAGCTTTCTAAATGATTTGTAATCAATATTACTAATGAGCACAAATGTAACGTTCCCTCCTAAAACTGACCTCAAGCTAGCTAGCACATGACACAGTGGTAAATGGAGTTCGGCAAGTGCAAGCTAAGGCCATGACAGGGACAAGCAGTGATGGCCTCCTACCTGTAAAGCACACTGGACATTTGAAGGTGCCCCCCATGCCTTCAAAGCTGTGCTCTATCAGGTGGCACTGAAGCTTGGCAGGTGAGTCAAACGTCTGATTGCACAGTTTGCACTCATGGTTCAGTCCTTCATCTGTGGAGAAATCGAAGAAAAAGTGAAATTCACAACAGCCCAAAGAGCAAGTCCAACACCATCTATGAACAGAAGAGACTTTTTGATTTCCTAAGCTCAGGAAGCTGGATGTCCCTCAGCACCTACGGCTGCTGAAGTGTTTTCTCCCCTGAAAGGTTTCAGCATCTACAAAGCTTAACTGGACATTAAAAACATATTTTCCACATACAGTTAGCACCAAACAGGAATGCAGAGCATTAGGCTTTGGCAGGAAATGATGAGTAGAACCTGAAACATCATCTCTTAGCAAAGCCACCCGATCACAACCGAGTACATTTGCAAAACAGCACGTGAAGAATTTACGCTGATCACACATCATTCATCTACCATGGGTAAGAACTGCAAACGCACACATTTTTGGCACTCTGGCTGACGTGGGGTTTCTCGTAACCACGTTTCCAGTCCCAGGGGCATACACAAAACACTTTGCAAGCTGCAGGATTTCCCAGCTCCCTTTCTGACAATCCCAGACTTTTTTCCCCCTTTATTTGCATTTCTCCTCTTAACAGCTCAGAAAAGTCCCTGTGTGCCTCCTGACGCAGCTTTCCCGTCAATGTCCTGCAGCTTTAAAACCCTTCCCGCTCCCCGCTGCTTGTTCCTCTGCTTCCTCCCATTGTCCTCTGAAGGCCGGCTGGTGCCTGGCACCAGGTTCCCTTCCTGAGGGTGCTGCAGGATTCATCCACTCCGCCATGAGGGCAGTCAATGGCTGTCCTACTTAGAAACAGTTGCTAGGTAAGAAGTGGCTTCCAGCCCTGCTGCAGAGGCCTCAATTCCCACAGCGCCGCTTAGAAAAGGTCCTTCTGTATGTCACCGGTGTGCTACACGAGTAGCATTGATCTCGCAGGTAAATACTGTATCTGATTATTAAGAATCAAGGGGGAATAAAACACTTGGCGACTGGCACAGCTCCCTGCCATTTCCCAGGTGGAAAGGAGCAATTTAGGGGAGTGCCCTGCCCACCTCAAACACCTAAATGCTATGCTGCCTGCAGTGATTAGTGACCGTAATGATGGGGGTTCACGGTTGCTGTAGACGGTGAGAGCACAGACAATGTTTTGTGCTCCACGCGACAATCCTTCCCACCCATGTAAAGAAAACAAGACATGGTGCTCGTGTGGCTGAGTGGGGCTACATGCCTGCTCAAAATGATCCTTGGTAACTTACCAGAATTGAAATAAATTCAATGGTAGCCCTCAGCTTTCACTTCTCATTAGCCCAAAAGCTGAATTTAGTCTTCATATAAGTCATGACATCCTTAGCAAAGGGTGGGAGTTTGTGGGCTGTACACAAGTCTAGCTAAGCCAGGCAGTGGTAGCTGTTCTGCAAGGTGGGACTACTGAAAACTACTGTCTTGTGGTTTTCTATGAGGTGTCAGAGCACTCTGTAATAAGAAGGTAAGGGGCAAATGAAAACCAACAAAGCCAAAAGATCTACACAAAATCAGGTTGGGGTGGCGGGTGTCTCCTTTGGAGTATACAGGTAAAAATAAACTGACTACAAAAATTTCTATCCTGACAACAGTCAGCAGCTGAGGAGCTCCCTCTCCACCGAAGGCCCAGCTCTCATATATACAGCACCTCCATTGCCTCTCATGGTAAAACCGTGTTTTTCATTCAGTGACTGCGAGAGGAATGAGATCCCCATTTTGGTTCTTTACAATGGCCACATTGGCATGTGACCATTCTTTTATCCTGTCTTCTTGTCAGTGCAACAGAGTGGTGCCACAGCTATAGACAAACATGGCCAAGTGTCGCTCACACACCAAACCACAGACTTCCCTTCATCCTCTCCCCAGTCCTTCATTAAAGCCGTGCTTGATGTTCCTGCCGACCTCCATGTGCTGCAGAGCTATCAGAGGGGTATGAAATGGGGTAAGTGACACCTTCTCATCAGGTAGGTGGCACCTTTTGTAACTCTTCATAGATAAATTAGCATCCAATTATCAAATATATGCTATTTCCTTCTCAGGGAAAATTCTAGTGTATTCTTAAGAGTTGCCTGGGATTTGGGGTTTTCCACCATCACTGAGAAGCCCTTCAAGTATGTTCTGCTCTTCCTGCTGCTGAGAGAAGACAAGTATGGTCTGCACGAGCACTGTTAAGGGGAGTGTGAGGTAAAAGAAGCTGGCACGAACCAGTCCGTACATCTAAGTGAGCGGGCTGTATGCTGTGCTCTGCCACAGGCAGCAACCCACAGCTGTGGGCAGAGCTGCAGAACAGCATACTGAAAAGAGGAGGAAGGCTCAACAAACCATATATAAATGCCTCTTCTTTCCTGAACTTGCAAATCAGTTGTGAAGAATGTACAGGCTGCCGTAAGTGACCAGATCTTTTCTCCTATACCTAGATCATTGCTGTGGTCATTACCAAACAGATAGTTCTGAAGACAGTGCAAGTCCCCACAAAGGTTAACTATGAACTAGAAAGCCTGTAGGGTGAAGTTTCTTCATCAAACTGTTTGTGCTGATACACACAGTCAAAGCAATTAGGACAAAGGGAGCTCCATCTCAGGATCTTCCACATGTCAAGGTGAAGATAATCGATGCCGGTTCTCAAGTCACAGACTTACTGTTGGCAAAGTGTAAATGAACCATGCTAATCATTCTTAAGCATGGGAACACTGAACGGAGAGTTCTTCAAACATTCCAAGGGAGAAAGACTTCCTAAAAAGAAATACTTTTATATGGAACTACAGAAGACAGAGAAGGCTTTTTTGTCTTTCCATTACATTAGCTAAGGAGGAAAAAGTAGGAAGAAAGGCATGCACTCCTGATGCTGAAGCAAAACTAATTTTAGTTACACGGTATTTGTACTTGTTTAAGAACTGAACCCCATTAAATGTGACCCTACCGTATTTCCAATATCACTCAGATCCGAGGTGATCTCCTGGTCAGAAACATCAAAACCACTTTGATTACTGTGTGTTGCAAATCCGCTTTTCCTAAAGGCTTATAAACAGGGTTTGAAAAATCCCCTCACCCACTCGCCTGGGGCAGATAGGAAACTTCCCCAGGCAAAAGGCATCAATTTGTGCAGAATCTAAGCTTTCTCTTAAAAATAAAATGTTTTTAGTCTCCTAGTTCTAAAGATTGCATTTAAAATACGACTACATTTGTGTAACTAGTAGAATAATATTCTTCCTAAGTCCCACTTGTCAGTCACTGTTTCCCTCACACTTTTTTCCACCCATTTTGTGCACATCACCTGCTCTGTGCTACATCCTCGGAAGAAAGGGCAAGGTTCCAGTCCTTGAATTCAAGAACGTGAGACCAGCATGATTTAAATTTAAGGGAGACAGATAAGGTTACAGTAGTGGCAGAGGAGCCAGGAGTGCTGGGTTCCATTCCAAACTCTGACACTGACTTACTCATACCACCTTGGGCATGACGGTATCGCCTGTGTTTCTCAGACTACCCATCTTTAAAGAAGAGGTGTTAATTTTTAATTTCTACTTTAATAGGCTGACCTAATTAGTATCCCCTAAGATTTTTAATACATCTGGGACAGGGGAGCTTGAGGGGAGTCCAGGACTATCTACCATAAACAGAAGACCTAGAATCACTGCCATCTGCCTTTGAGAAGCTTTAAGATAACATGTCTGGGCACACAACTGCCTGCTTGCTTGGGTCACATAGCACTGCAGAAGGATGATGGAACAAGGCTTTGTCTGTGTGCTCTGCTCTCCGTAGAGAATTTAAAAGCAGAGCCAGCATTTTATCTCCCATTGGCAAGAAAGAGCCAGGGTGTGGCAGCTTTTGCAAAGGTGCCAGATGAAGAAAAAGGATGCAAAAGGCTCTGTTTACACACTGGCCCCTATCTAGCTCTTCATGGTTAGCAAACAGTTTGATAGGGTACTATGGAAGTGCAAAGTATGATATCATTAATAAATAAAGGGCCGGTGAAATGTCACATTTTCAGTTTCCATTTGGGATAAATCTGAAATGCAGTGGAGTGTCAGATACAGTCCAAGAGGCTCTCCTTCCCTGCAGACAGAGCTACTGCTCTTTGCTCTTACTCAGGGAAAAAAAAAAAAAGGGGAAAAAAAAGGTGCTGAACAGCTTTAAAAAATTCAATCAAAATAATCTGCTCTTTGGAAAGGTGGCGGCTGACAGTAATTGGAAAATACTGTCTGACTCATTTATTAAAGTGAGATTCAGAGTCAATTGATTTAATAACCATTAGAATATTCTATTAAGGATATAATAGGTTGGCACAGCCCTATTTTTTATTAAGAGTTATAGGTAAGAAATAAGCAATGCTATGGAATTTTAGACAACTGCTGTATGGATTAGACTAAAAATACGGCTTGCAAAATAGGTATAAAAGCAGTAACTATCAGGAGGAGGAATAGGAAAATACATTACAGTGCAAATGAGTTAGCTGAACGATGAAAAAGAAATGAACCTTTAATATAAAGCCTGCACTTTTCCAAATCTAACAGAAAACTATGCACTTCATTCCCTGATGTGGTACATTGTAAAACAAGTCAGCACGTCCTTCACATTATAGATCCAACAACTCCATAAGGAAGTCAAGAACAAAGTACCCACTGTACAGCACAGAACGGCTGCTTACTGCTGCTCTTACTTGGTTGGGATATGAGTTTGGACGTGGTTAAGACCTCGAAACATGGATGAGGATGCTTTACCCACTGCTGGTAGACAAATGAGTTTGATACATGCAGAATTTCTGCATAAGTAAATTACTTTCCATTTGTAATCTTTATTCAGTTAGTAGGAAAATGTAAACATGAATCAATTCTAAATAAATGCATTTAATATTCATATAAATGTTTAATATTTACACAAATATTAAATGTTTCAGTGGGGGTAGGTAGATTTTAATTGAGGTGCAACCCGTTACCTCAGCAACTAACTTGATAACCAGCTACAAAAGCAAACAAAATCAGTTCTTGTGCTGAATATACACCCACATTTAGGGATCCTCTGTCTTTGAATAACT